ATATAGTTGCACAAATAAATAAAACACAGAAGTAAAAAGAAAGAAAAAACAGGAAAGAAAAACACAGCAATTTGAAAACAAGAGTTAAAAAATGTATACGCTAAAAGCTTTATTTGAAAATCAAAGTTTTTAAACAAATTTTAAAAATGTCAGTAGCCAACAGACAATAAAGCCCTTTTTCACATTTTAGGCACCTTATTGAATAACTGCTCTGACAAAAAAATGCATTGCTTCCTTTTGAAAAGAAATGTTTTATGTAATTTATTATTTATTATATTTTTCCATAAGTATATACAATGTTAGACCATTTTAAATGTAGCGATACACCACTGAAGTTAAATGGTGTACGTGCTTTATATATGCAGACTTGCACTGAAATGATGATGGAACCTATGAACAATCAGGAATATTTGTACCTACAGTACTGTAACCTTATGTTGCCATATGTTGCCATTCTTGACAATATTGCAAAGCAATAAAAAAACAGTGTTTGGATGTTAGTATATATTGGTGGAAATGTACAATTTACATTGAGGTATTTGATGTTCAAAATGTACAATGCCTTGGCAACATCTCATTAGAATACAGTTTTGGCCACTGTGCTACAAAAAGGAGATTAAACTAGTCCAAAGGAGACAAACGATGTAAGTTATTGGACTCAAAGGAACAACTTGTTCTGAAAGATTAAAAGAACTGGGAACACAAAAGACTACGGGGTGGGGGACATTGTGATACAAACCGCTGGACACGAATGGCTAATGAGGAGAATTGAGAACAGCAAGCACTATTTTACACAAAGAGATGTGGGAGACTGGAACAAGCTATCCAGATATTTTGTTGAAGCCAATACCGTTAACTCTTTTAAGAAAGAGCCAGATGATTCATACTTGCCTAGTGGTTACATAGTGGCGCAACTCACACATTACAACTGCTCTGAGTCACAAGGGGGGTCACACTTCTTAAATGGTAAGAACTTTGGAATGCTTTGCAATGTTACATAAACTGAACAAATCCGCAATTAACCAACTAAAGGTCTAAAAAACTGTAATGTACGTTTCTTTCCACTAGGTGACGATGCTGTTGTTTTTCAACATCAAGTGAAGACTCACTTCAGCATGCTAGTGCACACTACCTCAATGAAACATGGTCAAAAACGAGAGACCATGAAGAATGTCTGGGTGGTATTTGTATGTTGTTCCGCTGGCTGCAGGACACCTTCCAAAGGTGTCTTGCTCTAAACTGTTCCAGAGTGTCCATTCTAGGTGTAGTCCTTCCATGCAGTCTGTGCTTCAGGACATGGTACAACAACCCTTTTTAGAAATATGAAGCTTTCTGATAATGGGTAGGTGAACGAATAATCATGGCTACACAACAGATATGTAAATCTAACTCATATTTTATATTTCAGACGATGTTAGAGTATGTTACACAAGACCCATTTCCTTATTTAAAGCATTTCTCTGATTCCTATTGGTATTATATCTTATGGGTGATGACAAGACAAATGGCCTTCTGTGTTATCAGTGAAGAATTTGCAGTGAAAATTGTCATTTTGTTGTTATGACTGAGATACAAAACACAATTATCAGAGCAAAGACTATAAACAGAGCACAGAGAAGAGTGATGTCAAGAATATACAGTACCTGCAGGTCTATGAAAATAACAGAAAAGTGATAAGAGATTGTTTGACCTTCATTTAATTTATTATCAATGGATGATAATTGATTTGAATGGACACACTGTCTTTAAATGTGTGGCACATCAAGAGACATACTGACATATTAATTATCTGAAACAATATTAGTCAATCTATGATTAACGTTAATCAAGAGTCTGGGCAACCACAGTGTTCACTGTTACCTGCAGCTTTTTCAGACACTGGTGTATATTATTTAACAACTCTTGATTCAACCAATCTGTGTGTTGGTCAAAAAACTGCCACTAGGCTTGGTCAGTGAAAAAACAGCATTAACGTTAATAAAAATGCTTTAGTCTTGTTTCACAGCTGTTAGGTTTCAGTGTCATGGTCCAGGTTATTGGATTTATCCAGAATAGATAATAGTCTCTTCTAAATCAACCATATTTTGATTTTGCTTTAAAATCTTTATTGGAATTGCCAGATGCTACAGAAACCATACATAAAGTCTAAACCTTCTGCCCTCTCCAATAAAAAGGGGGCTCATTTAAAAGATCCTTCTCACTCAGTTGCCCTGATTTCGCTTGTAAATTATGTGCTACAAGTAGATAACAATTGAAACAAAACATGTCATTACATGAAGCACATGATAATCGATAGAAAAACAAACTTGCAAGTCAACGAATAAAGGTCCACTGGATGAAATGGACAATTTTTGTTGCCATTCTCAGGAAGTGTATGAAGCTCATTACTTACATTATGCACATCATAGAGATGTGCTATCATATGCGCCTGGGCATATTTTCCCCATCTTTTGAGCTTCTCCAGTGCACTTCCTCTGCAGGCAGGTTAAGATCACTGTAGCCTATGCTCTGGTCAAAGCTCACTGAGGGAGAGCAGCTAGAAATAGCTTTATTCCAGCTATGCCCCCTCCCACCCTCTCTCCTCCACAGTCCTCGCATAAACAGGATATTGGATGACATCAATTCACTGCAACACAACAGCAGTAGCGAGACAGAAATAACTAGAGATGTGCAATACACACTCTTGCTCTGAATTCGGAAGGGGGACGCATTGTGAAATAATTGCATCCACAGCAGCTTTTGTCTCTGAAAGGGAGAAATGTCAACCTCTGTGGTAACTACTGCCACAGTAGGTCGCAGGGCAATTTAACAGAACTAAATGATAAGCAATCGACATGTCTTAGCGGCTGAAGTGGTCATGTAGTAAGAACTGAAGGAGTGAAAGGTTAAAAGCTTCAATAAATCTCTTTATCATTAAAGTCATTAGATCTACACCTCTATACTATACAAAAACATATAGTAAGTATTTAAACATGATAATATACTTTAGCATTTAATTAATAGAGTAAACACTTGCATTTTAGCTACCTCTATATAAAAATGTATTTCATATGTAACTGTCTAAGGATATTGCTTATCTACAGAAAAAAAATTGCAAAGGTTCAAACCAAGCAATGTGGATTCAATTAAATCCAGAGATCAGGTGCAATGAAAACCAGCAGCGTGGGGGTCCCCAGAACTGAGGTTGGAGACCCCTTTTTTAATGGAACATGGAGCACTGTGGATACCCCCTTGGGAGACACATTTTTAGAGCAAAAACTCCCGGTACGTCCCTGTCAGGGAGATTTGACACATGGCCTACAAATAGGCCAAGCTAAAAACAAAAGTCCTTACGGAGTGAGAGATTAATCTGAATTCATGTGGAACTCAATTTTAATTTCCAGGGACGCTTTGTCCCAGTTTGGAATGCAATTTCTAAAAACGCTTACACTGAAATTGGTTCTGAAGCAGAGATTTGTTTGCAGAATGGTACAGTTCTCTGTGATGTCACTGAATTGCTTTACAACTTCATGGGCTGGCTTTACAGTCTGAACACAATAAAAGAAAGGAGATTCCAGGGAGACACAAAGCCAGCAGCTACATCACCCTGCAGCTTGCCACTGGCAGCCCACTGAAGCTCAGCAGGTGTGAATCTGGCCAGTACCTGGATGGGAGACCTCCTGGGGAAAAACTAAGGTTACTGCTAGAAGTGGTGTTAGTGGGGCCAATAGGGGGTGCTCACCCTGTGGTTTGTGGGGGTCCAAGTGCCCCAGTATAGTAACAGTGACTCTATACTGTAAAATAGGGTCTGTCTTTTGGATGAGACGTAAAACCGAGGTTCTGACTCTCTGTGGTCATTAAAAATCCCAGGGCATTTCTCGAAAAGAGTAGGGGTGTAACCCTGGTGTCCTGGCCAAATTTCCCTCTGGCCTTTACCAGTCATGGCCTCCTAATAATCCCCATCTCTGAACTGGCTCCATCACTCTGCCCTCCTCCCCACTGAGAGCTGGTGTGTGGGGAGCGTTCTGACACACTATGGCTGCCAACACATCAGCCAGGTGGGGCTGCACACTGGTGATGGTGGAGGGGAGTCCCCATTACCTCTAAAGCGCTTTGAGTAGAGTGTCCAGAAAAGTGCTATATATGAGTAAGTGATTATTATTATTGAAATAAGCAAGTATTATTATTGCTTACAATAGCCAAGGATCAAATGCTTGGAGTACTGAGAAAGTTTCGGTTCATGGGCACCCTCCAGGCCACAGGACGAGGAGGCTCGACCGCCATTCAGACTGAGTGAACCCAGGGGCGGAGGAGCGATGCGTGAGACGAAAGCAAAGGGAGATGTTTCGAGTTCAGTTCATGCAGCTAGTGTGGTGGTGATGTTGATGGTGATTAAATGCAGCTGTGGGAGACTGACTTATCGTTACTGTCCTTCCCGATCTTCAGTTAATAACTCCACTGTTTATTGCAAAGTACGGAAATTCCCCCCGATGCATTACGCAGTACTGTAATGAGGCACACAACTTATTGAGGACTCTTTCCGTATATCGTATTTACTTTAAGCCTTTTTAAAACTTAAAAAGTTACTAACACTGGCATGAAGGCAAATATTCTTCACGTAACTGACCAGCAAAATCATAATAATAAAGTCAATGACTGTCTTGAACTTAATCTACTCATTTGAAGCAACAAGTTAATAAAAAGCCTAAAAATCTTTCAATAGTTAGTTTACACCGATAATTTGATTTTTGGAGAGACAGCGCGCAGTGCTTGGATAACCAAAGCAAGTACGTTTCCTATCCTAACACTTGATTTAAAATTTCAAAACTTTTAACAGTCTGTTCAAAAGGGCATGTGCACAAACAAAGATATCTCCCCTAAGCTTGCTCTACACGGAGAGAACATGCAACAAACTTACAGTCACTTTCTCCTGCGCGTTCTCCCCCACCTTCCTCTCGAGCACGTCCCCGTTGCCCTGCGCGCGACGCTATTATCCCTCCCAGCGCGCTCCCTGCACTGTCCGGCGCGCACACGGCGGCGGACTCCTGGATTACAGAGCAGGAGGTCCGCATGGAGTCGCAGCACGGAGGATTTGGCATAAAAAATAATATTTCGCCTATAAGAACGCGAACACGGACAGTTGCGAGTCCAACTGAATGAAAGAACTCTTGGATACAGTTCGTGCTGCTCCACTTGCTTTGTAAGGAAAACAGTAACAGCTGGTTGCGGACTGTGTTTAATCGGGATTTGCTTTCTCACATAACCGGGATATTTAACACGGATGTATTATATTCATAATTTAAAGAGCCACCCTCCGGATATTCGTCTGCCCCGGCTTTGTTGTCTCCAGAGTCAGCTCTTTTCCACCTTTACTTAATTTTTATTATAATGCGGTGTTTCGGAGGCGGAGGTTCAGGCTGGGCTGTTGCAGCTGCCGAGAAAGACCGGAGAGCACAGCACTATTGAAAAAAAGGCAAGAGTGAAAAGCTGATATCAACAGTAACAGGTAAGAAGAAGAGTTCTTATACTGTACATGACGTCTGTGCCGTGCACGGAAACACTTTAGGTGGATATATTTAGGATATGTATATAAAATTATTATGCAAGGAAATTATCCTCTCTGCTCGTATAGTTCGTTCGTCTCCATAGTTTAGAGACTGATGCCAGTGAGCACTTTTTGTATACGGTGTTAGAACACCACGGCTGCTTTTTTTTTCTGAAGAGGTATTTGCGTTTAGAAAGTTTTTTGGGGGGAGGATTGGATAGGTCTCTTGTGGGTTGTGAAGAGAATGCAAAATTGCGCAATCGCAGACAGAAGGTAAGACCCAGGCGTGAGAGGGGAAAAACACCCCCGACATTTAACCTATTTTGATTCTAGTTACATATTGCCCTGCCAGGTGGCTTACCCTGACAGCTAGTGTCACTTTTTGTCTTCAGTCGGACGCAGAAGTACAGTATGTCGTTCGTTATGTGCAGACGTGCACGCCTCTTACCCAGGTAACTTTTTGGAACCGTCTCTTTGGTGGACATACGCATGTAGCATTTTAAAAGTCCATGAAATTGTTTTGTCCTTTAGTTGTTTTGGTGTTTTGTTTTCATATAAATGCATAATGCGCAGGGCATCTTCACAGGCAGAGGAGTGCAACCCCGTCATTTTGGAAACCCCGCACTTGATTATTGTATTTTCACTCGCCGGTAACCACAGGCCCCGGAGCGCTGCAGCTCAGTTTAACAGTTCCCAATCACCCCCGGGAAGCGAGGGTGAAATGAATCGCTGCTCGCTCGCTTTGCAGAAGAGCCGGCGTGCGCCACATCAAGTCATGGTGACAGTAGCGCAGTTTCTGCCGCGTAGTTGGTCTGCGCTGTGCCAGAGGAAAGTTGCTTCCAGTCCTTTACAGAATCAGACCAGTGCATACAGTATTTCCCGATTACAATAATGATGTTCTGGTTCATAGGCTGCGTTGCCTTGCTATCCTTCTGATTGTTTTCATCCAAATCTGTCCTTATTAAACGGGATTCTTTGCATACCTTCTTAACTGTTGACACATCCCCTCACTGGATGTGCAGGATTTGTGATGGAGTTCCATTTTTTACATTTATTGTACGTTGTTGTGAGCTTATCCATTTTATGCATTTAAAGGGTTCTTACAGTATGTGTTGCCCCGGACTGACGAAGTATGGTTGAACCTCTATATAGTACGTTCTCTTTCAAGGCCGTTGTAATACACTTAAGAGTTTGATTGCATCATTAAAGTGAATGGTTTTAGAGAGCAGTTGACGGGCATGGAAATCGGAGCTGTTTTCTGTCCATTGAAAGGAAGTAAAGTCTTTGCAATATGTTAATTCGATCGTTCAAAATAGACATTGGATAACGTAGCATTTAAAGATAGACATACGTTTTGATTCATTGGTATTGTTATTGTAATGATGAGAGGCTCCAGCTTTAAGGGCTTTAAACTGCGTGTCCTCAGGTAGGTTATGGAATCTGTTGCTTGATAGCGGGGTCTCCTGTTACATTAGTTAGCTGATTTCTTGGTCTGAAATTCCACGGTCTTGCTCGGTTTTGATTATTTTCAGTATGCAGATTTTTCCTTGCTTATGGTGCATTTTACTCAAGGCATTTACAGTGTTTGAAGCATCTAATGAGGGCTGATATTATAATTAGTCTGAGGAGAGGAGGAAAAAGTTACATAATTTCTAGTAAATTTAAGATGCTAGCGGATTCCAGATGTAGTATACAACTGCGTCAGTAAGAATCTAGGTTATATTTGAATTTTAACAGTTCTTTACACTCGGCATGGACTCAAAAACCCCTATTATGCATCCACCATCAAAATGCTTATGTGTATGCTTGAGAAAGATACATGAAGCACCTCGTATTGCAGAAATGATGACTTTTCTGAGCATGTACAGTATATACTAATGAGGTCATGTCATGATGGAGTTCAGAGTCCTAAGAAAGTCTGTGACCTTTTACCTCACAATGACTGCACCTGCTTCCCAGCCCAGAGAGCTAACAGAGCCTGCAGGGTTGAAAGGTCACTGTCTCACGTGGCCTTAGAGAACAGGAGGCTCCACAACAGCTTCTCCACAAGAGCTTTTTTATCCGCTTGTTTTTCCCCTGAAATTAATTTTAATGAGAGACGTGGGCTTTAAAGCGGATCCTTTCTGTAAACAGGGGTCGTGTCTACTTTTTCTCTTCAGCATTTTGACATTTTGCTCCCTTGGCCTGGGCAGCTGAAGATAGAAATGGTTCTTCTATCGCAACAATAGCTGCGACGAACAATTTAATGTCACAGAATGACGACACCTGAAATGGCCCAGGTTTGCATACTCTTTAGTGCCGCGTTGGGCCTCTTTCCCTTGGTGAACCGCAGTGACTCATCAGAAAAATGTGTTACGCTGACAAATAATCTGTGACAGTGTTTGATCAGGATTGCAATTAATTAAGGTGATTTCTGTTCTGGCTGTTAGCGTTGTTAATTATGTTTTTAGGTTTGCTTTCTGCCGTGGAAATGCAGCCATCAGAATTGAATGACACGGTGGGTGGTGTGCTGGGGCTGTACAATGTGTGAAAAGAGAAAAGGCCCATCTAGGAAAGAGGCTTCGAGTTCTGAATAATAAGAAGCTGCCTTTCACAGCATCATAGAAGCCATGCTCACTGTAAAACATGTCTTTATATTGTCTTTAATTGGTTCCTGTGCCTTATTTCATGTAAAGCTGCAGGAAAGCATTTGGTTATAAATGAGTTTCCTCTCTTATCTTCAAAACATGGGAGGTGCAATTTTCCAGTTCCTGTTTTCCTGCCCATTCCATGCCAACATCACACCTATTCCTGTGCAATGTGTCCACTTACTGTAGTAGTTCTGCGAGGTGGTGTGTCAGCTTAGCCGACGCTAAGTGTCTTGTTTGTTGTAAAAGCAGTAACAAAGTCAATTAGAGGAGACCGTTTCATCAGCTGTACTTGTTCAATTGCTTCTCTCATATGGAATGTAGGCTCTCCGTGGTGTTTCTTAACCGATACCTGTGAATCATGTAAAAATACAGGATGTGAAAAGAATGGAAAAGAGAAGAAGTCATGTCAACCGTCTTGGTTGTAGCCACGTAATCTGTATCTCAACCAGCCATTTCTTGAAAGGTTACATGGAATCATGGAATCAGCTTCTCACAGTCAGTTTTAGAGAAATCTCTGGGAAATCGTTTTAAACACAAAAGTTTATCCTTTGCCACTGTGGCTATGTGTTTGCCTCCTGGCTGTTCAAGTGGCACCGCTGGTGAGATGAAGAGGGCGTTCACTGATCCCTCCTCCATCGCTGCACGATTCCCTACTGTACCTAATTTAAATACCCTGCACAGTGGTCTGGAAATGAACTGGCGTCAAAAGCTGAGTTTCCTTATGCAAATCCTTAAGGAACCTGACCTTACATTTTTATTGTAGTTCACACAATTGGTATTAAATTATGCACGACAGATGTTCTGCATGATATTGCAACTATAGTATAAAACGTGCATCGGGTAGCAAGTATGGTTGTATTATTCCTTTTGCTTGTATTCTAAAGGAATTCACTGCTTCTCTTGAGAGGCTGGAGAATTATTCTGTTTAGACAGAAGCTGAGGAGCAGTCAGTGTCAAAAGCAAATTGTTCTTCCATGTGCTGATGGGCTCATTGTGGCTGGAGGAGAAGGCATGATTAATAAGATCAGTGGGGTTGAATACAGACCTACGGACCAGCTGAGTTGTCGCAGACAAGTTAAAGTGCTCCTAAAATGGCACATTTTGCTGACTGTGAAAGGTTACCATTACCCTATACTTCAGTTTCCTGGTGCAGACCATCTCCATACCTTGACACAGATTCCCTAAGTTGCATGTCAGCTGAGCTGTCGTGCTCTATACTGAGCTTGTCCGATCACTTATTTATTTTACCGTCAATAAAGTATGTATCCGAGTTCCATCCCTTCAGACCTGTCTCATCTGTCTCAATCCGGCTGTGTTCTACGTTGCGGAACCATTTGCTCAAGTGGATAAAACTGGCTTCAGTGAACGAAACCCACGCATCTGACTTCCTACCTTGTTTCTAAGTTTGCTGCTTGGCATTTTTTTTTGGAATGAGCCATCTGCGGTGGCTTTGTTTGCTGATCTGCTGGGGGTGACATCGCCTGCTTTCTGTTTGTAGGAAGTGTCATGTTGAACTTGAAGTGAGGACTCTAGGGGATGTCTACTTCACCGCATTTAATTATTATTCAAGAGGATGAATTGACAAAAAAAGATACTTAGGGGAAGTAAGGGCTTCTTTATTTTTCTGGTTATAAATTGTGACTTCTTAAACATGATCTTCCTGATTTAAATTAAGCAGAAGCTGCTGGGTTTAAATCTAAAGGTAGGGCAGGGGTCCACAGGAGATTAAGAATGATTCAGCAGTGTTGAGTCATGTAAAGGCTGTGAGAATTAATTAAATTCATCATTCAAGAACCACAGAATAAGCAGTTAATCTAATCATCTTAAAGCAGAACACAGTTTAAACTCCTGACCACTGTAGAGAGTTTGAAGAGATTGGCACACACATTATGTTGGTTAAATTTATTGTTGTTACTAAGCTATTATCTTCCATCAGCTATGTCTGATGAAAATCCCTATGTGTCAATTACGTCTTACACGGAGATTGTAATTGAGCTTGTGTTGAGTCTAAATGAACCTGCGGTTAGGACTGCAGTTTGTTTTCACTTTATCCTAGCCATGTAGTATTGTTACTGCTTCAGCCATTTGAAAGAAGATGGAGGGCCTGCCTCAACACAGTCAGAAATCATGGAAGTGTGGAAGTGGCTTAGAGGCAGAGAATGTACTGTAGCAGTGGTCAGGGCTAAATGTACAGGAACAAATATCTCCGTTAAAACACTCCAAACAGATTTACATCACCTGACACCAACTGTCAGTGAAAACAGAAGAGACGGTAGTTTTTTCTTGTCCAGGGAAATGCCTGATTGTTTTGACAAAATAGGATAGAAAATA